AGAGACTGAGACAGGCACATGGTAACCTCAGAAATTAAGCCCCAACATTGTGCAAAAGACTGCATAACCTCCATGCTTAAAGCTTGAGCTTTCGGATGGATAGGTGCAAGATGCTGGATTGTGGCCATCTCTGTTGAGATGGCCAAAGAAGATGTGGAAGAGGTGGGCTCTCCTAAAGGTACCACAAAAGTGGAAACCAGGGTTAAGCTACCCAATCCAGTGCTACCAACGGAATGAGACAAGGGGTTGAACAAATCATTGTTAGGACTCTGAGTAACAGATGAATCAGTGGGTAGATATTGGTGCAATCCAGTCCCGTCCTGTCTGAATGCATCTAATGTCAATGCTCAGGGGTGAGGTACTGCAGACCAAAATGCTGGTAGTTGAGTGTTTCAATGAGAAGCAAATGCATCGATTGTCAGCGTCACAAACCGAAAGCCAATCCAACAGAAAAACCCTTGATGAAGCATCCATTCTGTCGGAGAATCCAGTTGAGTCAAGACATTTGATCCACCACCAAATTCATGGCAATCTAGTAGGATGATATGATGCGAGTAGGCCCTTTATAGAAGATTCAAGATTTGAAAACAAAGAGACCTGGGCTGAGTGCCCCCTTGATGGAAAATGTAAGATACCACTGTGGAATTGTCAGAGTGAAGCATGAAGACTTTGCCCTAAAAAATTCCAGACCTTGAGACATCACCCTTTGAACAGCAAAAAGTTATAAAACATTGATGTAAAGCAATGCCTCATCATCCATCCATAGGCCATGGAATTCCTGACCATTGAGATATGCACCCCGTCTCTGAAATGAGGCATCCATGAAAAGATGAATCTCTAGACGATGTAACGGCAGTAGAACACCTATCATAAGATTGTTCTGATCTAACCACCACTCGAGATCAAATATGTTTATCCTGAATAAGGAGACTGAGGAATCCAGTGGATTCCTGTTCATGATCAATTGGTCACATATAGACCACTGAAGGGATCTCATGTGCACTTGTTCCAAACAAATGAGGGATTTGAGTAATGTTCAAATCCCCAAAACAGAAAGAACCATCCACACAGTGGGAGAAGGAGATGTAAGAGTTGGACTGCCTGTTCCATAGTGTGGAGCCAGATGGGAGTCAGCTAAACCTGAAAAATACACCCAGATGAATGATATATTGAGTTGAAGTGAGAATCGATTTCTTGGCTCTTATAAGAAATCCTACCTTGGTTGCTCCAAAAAGCAGTATCTGGGTGTGATGTTCTTCTAACTGATGAGATGGTGCCAGCAGTAGTCAGTTGTCTATGTAATAGTGTGTGCACAGGCCCAAAGAATGAAAGTGATGAAAAAAAACGTTTTTATGATTGGCAGAACACATATGGTGCTGAAGATAGTCCAAAGGGCAGAGCCCTCAACTGCAGCACCTGACCCTTGTGCCCAAAACACACAGTAGGGGAGGAATCCACTATGGGAATGTGCAGATAGGCATCGGCAAAACTTAATTTGGTCATCCACAGTCCTGGTGAAAAATACCAACACAGAGTGAGGAACGACTCCATTGTGAACTTTGGAGGATCTACAAATTGATTTAGACAAGAAAGATTGATAACCAGACACCAATCTCCTATCTTCTTGGGCACAACAAACAAATGGAAATGAAACCCTGGAAGAACTAGAGTGACTTTCTCCACTACCCCTTGACCAACAAATCTTTGATAGCTGAAGAACGAAGTTCCAAAATCGAAGAACCTGCGGGAGCAAGAAACATCCCAGGTTGGGGTGATAATGGTGGTGGAGATGTGAACTGAATGATTAATCCTGATGAAAAAATCTGTAGTACCTGTGGATCCATGGGAAAGGTTATCCACATGTCCAGAAATTCTCGTAGAGCCAAGCTCACGCAGACCTCAAAGGCACAAGGTAGTCACCACCGCCACTGGCAGCATTCCAAACAAGCAGAGGATCCTCATGGACAAGGGTGGAATCTATTCTGGGTACCAATGGACTGATGTTGGAGGTTGGAAGACTCATATAGAAGTGAAACTATGACCCCTTGTAGGAGCCGAGGAAAGACGAGAAGCCAACATTGACAGGGATGAATGCAGATGGGCAACATGGATCCTTGATTTTAAAGACTCTGCAACACCCACATAAATCAATGATCAGTGAAAGGAGGACTCACGTAACTCCCTGAGGGCAGCAGCAGGTAGACAAATGCTCTCCAACAATGCATCTATACCCAACATATCCCAACAACATACCAGCCAAGAAAAGAAAGGAAGAACAGAAACTGACAATCGAACCAAAGTGGATGCTAACAATGGTCCCAACTTATCATCACATTGATGTGGCAATCACTGAGAGGATTTCAAAAAATGTTGTAAGGATGATAAATAACTAGTTAGGGTCAGAGGAATTCTAGAATCCCACTTTAAGGGTAAACAAGATGTTAGGGTGGGGGTAAGTTCCTTGAGAAATGATAAAGGAAGGCTAGTATCTGAAGATTATAAGATGGCTGAGTTATTAAAATTTGCTTTTTCTTCAGTTTTTACAAATGAAGATTCAAGCAATATTCTCCATCTTGAGCAATTGATTTATGGAAACAAGATGAAACTAGATTACTGCATTAATTCTGATCCAGTTAAGAAAAAATTGGAAATTTTGAAAAACAATAAAGCTCCTGGGCCAGATAATATTTCCCCAAGGGTTTAGAATGAGACTAAAGATTGGATATGTGAGAAACTTACTACTAATTTTTGTCAGTCCTTAAAAAGTAGGCAGGTATCAGAGGATTGGAAGTTAGCTAATGTAACTCCTCTTTCCAAGGGAGGTGATAAAAATTGTCCCAGTAATTATAGACCCATTAATCTTACATCAGTTGTGGGAAAAGTTTTGTAAAGTCTGTTAAAATATGCTTTTCAAAGTCGTTTAACAAAGTTTAGAATTTTATAGGATAGTCAACATGGTTTCACTATGGGAAAATCTTGCCTTACAAATCTTTCAATATTCTTTGAAAAGATTACTGCTTATGTAGATGAGGGTAAGGGTATAGATTTGGTGTATCTGGATTTTCAGAAAGCATTTGACAAGGTGCCACATAAAAAGGCTTGTAAAAATAATTAGCTCTATAGATGTGGGAGATAAGTAAGCTAACTGGATAGAAGAGTGGCTGGATGGAAGAAAGCAGAGGGATGTTACAAATGGAGTTCATTCAAACTGGATTAATGTCACAAGTGGGGTACCTCAGGGCTCAGTCTTAGGACCTTTGCTATTTTTGATTTACATCAATAACATAGATGAAGGAATAGTCAACAAATTACTTGAATTTGCAGAAGATATTAAGATCTTGGGTGAGGATCTGTGATGAGGATGCTGCTGGTTTACAAAAGGATTTATATCATTTAGTGAGTTGGATAAATAAATGGCAAATGGGTTTTAATTATAATATATGCAAGATAATGCATGTGGGTTATCATAATTTGAATAATAAGTATAATTCAGATGGGAATAACCTTAACAATGAAGGAAAGGGATCTTGGTGTAATAGTCGATCAGTCTCTAAAGCCATCCAAGCAGTGTGCTGTTGCTAGTGGTAGGGCAAGTAGGATTTTAGGTTGTATCTACAGAAATATTGAATACAAGTCGAAAGAGGTTATAATTTCATTGTACAGGTCATTGGGTGTGTTCAATCTTGGGCTCCTTACCTTAGGAAAGACATTGAATTGTTGGAAAGGGTTTGGAGGAGGGCTATTAGAATGGCTGTGATGGAGGGGTTGTCATATGACAAAAAAGATATGAAAAAAAGAAGAGTTAGGAGGGATCTGATTGGGGTGTTTAAGATTGTAAAGGGAATTGATAGTGTTGATGCATCATCTTTTTTCATATTTAACAATGAGAATAGTAGGATTGGAGGACACAAATATAAATTTTGGCAAGGTAGGAGTCATCTTCAGCTAAGACAGTGTCATTTTTCTAACAGGGTGGTTGGCTTTTGGAATAAGTTGCCTTCGGATATTGTAGAAGCTGTTAATTTAAGTGAGTTTAAGTTAAAGCTTGACAAGTTTATGAATGATAAGGGTGGCTTTAAGATTTTTTTTTAATTATCTTAATTTAGTTTAGAGGATGGAAAGTTGCTGAGATGGACCAATAGGTCCCATGTTGTCACAAAACATTATGTTATGTTATTTCCAGGAGCAGGTTTATTCTCTGAGAGTCTAAATATGCTTCCACCTGGTAGTGGGAGGATAAAGCATGTTGTTCTGATAAATGTCACAGACATGGCATAGCTGTCCCTTCACATAACTGAGCAGTAAACCTTCCTGTATGAACCACAATATCAGGGGATGGAGAAGAACTAAGTATTCACCCTCAGACCTTTCCAGCATCAAGGAAGGCACAGTCTCAAAAGCAACCAGAGAAAGACCTAAATCATCACACACTTAATTTACCAACTGAAGCAAATGAGCTGGAGATGGCTGATTCAAACTGGCCTCATGAGAAATTGACCGAGTAAAGGAAGGCACTGGAAAAAGTGAATCTAAATTCTCTCCAGATTGTCATGGATAGCCTGCAAATGCAGCCTCAGAGCTCTCTGGAGAAACATCACCAGACTTAATGTGTGTCTCCATCTCACTAAGGATAACGTCATCAACAGCCTCAATTGAAAGTGAATCCCTCCCATCCCTAATTCAATGCTAGATGTCAGAGTTGGGATAGACCTCAGTTGCCTCTGTGCCGGATACATTAATCCAGGAATTCATGCCGTATATTGGCTTGTTAAATGAAAAGATTTTTCGTTTGGTATGAAAATCAAATAGGTAACACAAAAAATGTTCAAAGTATCTCCAATGATTGTGCTATAAGAATGTCACAAGATAGATATTGATAAGGGGCAATTAAGTGGGGAATAAAATTAGACCAATGCTTAGGTGGGCAAAGAAAAAGAAACCCTAATAGTCGAGTAATAGCTGAGAGGAGGTAAGCATGTTTTGTAAAAACTGTATCTTACCTGTAAGCAGCAAGACTTCTTATCATTCTGATCACAATTGACTGAAAGATCATACCGTTCATGGGTATTGATTATTCCATGGTGGGATGGTTTCCCAAGAATGCTCTAAAATAAATTGTATGTTTTAGACTTGATGTTTAAAATAAATACTTTTTTTTATTTCAGTGTATTTCATTTTTAATTCCGCGTGAATACTTTAGATCTGCACACAAATTAAGAATTAATGGCTATAATTTAATGATCCAAGCAATTTGCAAACCAATTACCATAAACATAATCAACATTTTTTTCATTCTGTAATGAATTTAAAGGTTATGATTTCTCTCATTGTAGTTAAGCCCCCTAAAATAATCATATAGCTCAAATAAACTTTTTCACAGGCTAACTACAGTCTTCAAGCTTACGGCCATGTTGCGAAATATTAAACAAACATGTCAGCTTTCTTTCTCATGGGCTGAATTGTCACTTTACAATAAACACACGCTTTGACCAACCTAAACTATAGACTTGGGACATGTTGCAAAATAATAGTTCTGAAATGCTAACAAAGGATGAATATTGAACACTCCTGTCAAGATCAACTAACACTGTCTGCATATCAGTGATAATGGAGAGGATTCTCACGTAAAGTGATTCTAACTAGATGGATATGCAAATTTAAACAATTGTGTTCATAGTTGTGAAAGTATCAACAAATGTAATCTGGTACCACTTAGTTGGAAAGATGTTTATTCTAAACAAGATGAGAAACTATATACACAGGCAACCTTTCCTGTAACTTTTTATGTTATTTGACGTCAATCCCTTGGTCATCGGACCCCAATCATAAGGGAAGACGAGTCCGCTCTAGTTGCTGGACCAATCACCTCAAAGTCTACCCACATGAGTTTGAATGGATTATGCTGCAAAATCATATAAAAATTGATATCTCTAGACCAAAAGTGTGGTTCTCCCCAACCAATATCAGGGTTGTTCCTGGCCTCGAGGTTACTCCAGAGGGTTCCAGGCTTTCTAGTTCTTTTAGCTAAGTTCCTGAGATATACAGTCAGAAAGTGGCAGTATATCTACACGTGCAAGACTTGCACTACACTAACTCCATGTAAGTTTTAATTGCTACTATCCTTTCACTAATAATATTACCAGGTGGAAATATGATGTATAATGCAAAAGTCATTAAAGTTAAATAAGTAATGTTCATAGGGTTAGAAACATTATGGATCTAATATAAGTTACTGAAAGTGTAAACTTTTCTGTAATCGGTGTTAGTGTTTATCTTTCATTATAAGCCTTCATATTTTTATGTTAATAAAGTGTATATCTTTTGGTGTAGAATAGTACTCGATATCATTTATTCCTTGCTTTACTTGTAAATTTCCTCAAGTTGGTTGACTTGTGTACCCGCTTGTAACTGCATAACCTGGGTTTTTTAATAAATCTATTGTAATTGGTATCTTATCGCCCCAAATGATGCTCTCTTGTTCCCATGAGAGAGCAGCTTGTTACAGTTCAAATTTTGAAAATGACAGTAGCATTAGAAATAACTTTTAAGTTTCATGCATAACAATTTAAAAAGCAGTGATTACAAATTAAACATTGAAAACAACATAATCAAATTTAGAGGTTAAAATCTCATGATTTTGAAAAAAATGAATGTTAGAAATAACTATTCCAAGTTTCAAACAAAATTACATTTAAGAACTTTTTTTTGTCAATATCTCTCTGAGAAGTTGGCATAAGGCACCATGCAACTGCTCTGGCTCAAGATTAGGTAAAAGTGTTAAAATGTTTCTTGTCATACATCAACTGGTTATTAAGGAACAAGAATACAGTATAAGGACACTTGATAAAATATATTTTCCAATTATATTGTTTGTTTAAAATGTTCACATTTTTAAAAAGCTTATCATTTACATAATAAATAACCAAGGTAGATTTTTTCAGTTACTCATGTTGACAAGACAAGAGGTGTGCAAAACATTATAAAAAATACTAGGGTACAGCTCGTCAAAATATATGGAGGCAAGTACTACTACTTCCACCCAATAGTATACCCTAACCTCACATTTTATAGCTAACTGAACTAAATAAATTTTGTGAAATGAAGCTTGACCAACAAAGAGGCAGAAGAGTGCAGTCAAGGCAGTTAAATGTTGGTAAATTCCTTTGTGATCCAATCAAAATTTATTTCATTCTTGAAATGAATTTGTGAATATTCATAGAATAATTATTGGTAAAAATCAGTTAGATTAGCAACTTCTAATTTTGGTAACACTATGTTCCAATAAAGGCTTTTATGTCATGTTGCTTAGCAACAAAAGTATAACCTAAAGTTGTTGTTAGTCTATGTACTGAAAGGATAAAATGAAATGTATAGACAACAAAATTGAAAAAATATCTCTTGATTTTTAGATTTATAGTCTCTGTTGATTAAAAATGTTTCTTTTTTGATTAAAAACATTGGTGATCTAACAGAAAATAACTTCATTCAGAAACAATTTAAGTTTAACATTAATCAATATATTTACTTTCATGATAAATTTTATGCACTTGGCTCTAGGCTAAGTGATCCCACACTACATCTTTACTTTAAGCTTATTGTACCAACACTCACTACACTTACAAGGTTTCACAGCACACACCCACCTTCAAAACCCCATGCACCCCCATCACTAAAATCATAATGGGCAGAGAGTAATTGAACTATTCCATCTAGATAAATGCATTTTGGCTTTTACGACTCCTCCTATTTCAAGAAACCAAGCATGACAAGACATGATACACACTGGATTTTATAGAGGTGAGATGGTAAGTTAATAAAATTTGCATTTTTTAAACTTGTTTTAATTTTAACAATTTTAATATGGTGCCTAGTTGTTCTTTTGTTGTTTTATTTCCCTTGCTGCTTAATTTAAAGGAAGTTGAGTTGTATCTTTTTCAGTAATATATGCATATTCAATTGAGTACTACTGTAAGTAGTCTCAAATCATTAGTATGCGTGTGTGTGTGTGTGTGTGTGTGTGTGTGTTTTTAAGAGCAAAGTCACATTTGGCTATCTGATGTGTCCACTGAGGAGAATTGAACCCCTGATTTTAGCATAGTAAATAGGTAGATTTACTATTGTCCCACTGGAGGACAATAAATAGAATTCCACATATTTTCATTATTCAAAAGTGGACTCACAAAAATAGAAACTAGGCTTTGAATATGAGATCTTTACAATGATAGTGATGTCATATGTCTGACAAATTTTGGCAGGGCCTGAGCACTATAAAACTTTTCCTTGGTTATTGAGCAGCTTTCAGATTACACCAACAAGAAACACAATAAAATAATCATCATACAGATTAAATGCACAAAGAAATACAGTAAATGATCCAACTTTCACAGTACATATTAAAATATAGTAACAGAATGTTCACCAACCTTCACATTAAATCCATACCAAAACAGAAGAATCATAAAAATCACATTCAAAAAGTAGTAACAGAAAGAAATTACATCATTTATAAAACTTATGTATCAGTACAAGTACTTAAATGACTTGGATAAACAAAATTTACTTTTTCCTTTCCACTGGTCTTTAGTGAAAAACAAAATAACAAATGTACAGTATGTAAACAGAGCTTCAATTATTTATAAGACCATTTTTACACTTCTTTGCAAAACATACTGCTTTAACTATAAATTAAATATTTTCCATTTTTTAGCAAAATCTAAATTCATTTTTGAAAAGTTTATTTGGTTTCTTCATGGTGCAGTATTAGTGAATGTATTGAAATGTTTAGATATAAATTTATAAAATTAACTTTTGAATGTCATTAGAAGTCACTCTTATAAATCTTATAGGCTAAACCTACCTGTTCTTGCAGGCTCTCAAAAGACGTGAAACGATGAGGGTGTGCTTCATGGTGAAGGTGAAGTCGTGGGGTAAAGGTTAAAGCACAAACCATTAACAAGGCCATACCCGCAGATAAAATCTAAAAGGAATTATTCTTGTAATTTTTGTAAGATGGTACAAGCTATCAGCCAATATGTTTAACCTAGAAAAGTTTATTGTTGAATAACATAATATTTCTTCTGATAAAATACATAGTTTCTTGTTATTCTAAATAACATTTTAACACTTAAAGTATTGATGTCAAGTTCACTTTATGTTTTCACATACATTAACTTTTCATGCAAAACAAGCAGACTTACCTTTCAAATATGAAAAGCTTTTTCTTGTTGAGTTGCTCTCATACTGTTATGCTGTATAAACATACCACGAGTTCTTAACTTCTTATTTTAATATAGCATTATTGTAAACTTATCAGTTATTCTGTGCAAGTGCAGTTTTCATATAACATATGGTCAAGAAAGTCATTAAGTTGATTTCATTTTAGCTGTCTTTGTTGTCATTCACTGGATACAACACCTTTTCTCCTCATAGGATTTATGATTGTAATGTTTCACATTGTGCAAAGATGTCTACAATAATGTTCTCCAGTCATAGGTTAAGTGATATCTTGAGGTTAAGACCGCCCTGACATTTCAAGGAGTTGACCAACAGAGACATAAGAAGAACACACATCCTGAGAATATATCATTATAGAATTTGGTTTACATGATTATGATCTTTAAGTTAGTTCTGTCTCAAGCTCAAGCCCTCATTTTGGTATATGAAGTTTAAATCCTTTCTTTGTAAACAGTGATACTCTCCTAAAGTTTAACCTGTAATTCTAAGTAATTCTTACTAAATATCTTTACAAGTTTTTGATAGAGTCTATAGAGATAACTATATATTAAGGGCAATGTTCTTCATTCTATACATACATCATTTGGATTGTATTTGTGAGTTTGAATAAATATTGTTTCATTGTGTCCAATCTCTTTCTTTCTCAAATTTGTTCAAACTCAGAGAATTCTGAGTTACTTCATAATAGCATCATGGACAAATCTTTCTTTTATTAAAACTACTTCACTAGAAATATGAGTTTTTGTATGTGAAAGCTTATTAATAATATTAACTGTATTATTAACAGTAATATTAACTGACAGACTGCCAAATTTCGTGAAGATATACCCACTATATTGAGAGTTATAAGTATTAAATCTATAAAAACTTTAAATGAGTAAAAAAATAGTCACATGGTCTGCCAAATTGACTGAGCCCATATTGAAAGTGTTAATGTCATCTAGATTAGAATGAAACCTCAACAGTTCCACTGTATCAAAGTGGCCATTTTTACGTAGGTGGAGGAGAACTGGGCAGAGAACCCTTCTGTTTATGACCACGCCATTTTGCTTTACTAGAAGGAAGTCTATCAACCTCCATGGATCCTGCCCTTGTTCGAGTGGGCAGATCTCTGTCATTAGACTTAGATTCCAGCAACTGAGGGCATGAACAAACAATCATTCTGCATCTCGGGGTCGAAGAAGATGGATCCGAGTAGATAGGAGTAGACATTGACTTATCAACTCTTTTATCCACTGAGGATGAAAGACCCTTCACATGATGTTAAAAAGACTCTGATGGAGGCACAGAAAGGTCTATCTGCACTCCCACCATAGCAGTAGAGCATAGTGCAGCAGGATATGTACGAGATGGAGTAGAGGTCAATAACTTCTGAGCCTCGGGGTAAGAAATGTTGTTAACAGTCTTTAAATGTTGTGCCTCTTTCTTTTCCACCCACTTAGGGCAAGATCGATACTAAGAGGGGTGGGAACCACTACAATTAACATTCGTAGACATCATGGTCTTTACCACCACAACAAGCACAGGTTACAGAACCACAACAAGATGTATTCGAATGACTGAACCACTGTCACTGGAAACATCAGTGGTAGGTGGACATGGAGATGTAAATATCCAAATGAGAACACTGGTAGGCAGCATAATTCCTTCTTTACAAGTGGAGATATGTTACACTGCAGAAACTCCTTGGCTGGAGAAACCAGAGAGGATCTCCGACTCAGGGATGTTCTTTAAATCCCTCTCAACAATAACTCCTCATGAGGAATTCAATGTAGCATGGGGAGTTACTCCAATGGGTACATCCACAATGGCCTTTGAATTCAATTGGAGTTCACGGTGTTTTGGTGTTGATGTTTCCACTAAGATGTCCCATGAACACAGCTTCTTAACTGAGCCAGCAAGCCCCTCTAATCCCTTCTGAATAAAAAAGGGAGACATTTGCCCTAAAGGTTTATATGACAAAAAATGCAAGATCAAAAATGAGGTATAAGTACAGGAATCCACCTCGAGGGGGTGGAAATAAGTATCCTTTGAAAGCATCCAAAAACATCCATAAATTGTGATCTTTGTTGGGAGAGAAACACACATGGGAAACTGCACCATTTCTGTACCAGGTATACTCTGCACCCAGTGTGAAAATAGGTGTCATATACACAAGCAGAAAGAACACAACAAAAAGGGATAAAAAAAACACAATATATTAAAATCTCACTCTTGATGAAGAAAGTCTATAGAAGAATTATCTACAGACAGAAATGTGGGGAAAGCTAAAATGGATGTGCTCTGAGGAGTAGAGTGTGACGAACTGTATGCGGCCATTCAATTCCAGTCAAAAACCAAGCAGCACCTACAAAATGGGGCACATATGTGCAAATCCACAACCATCACTCAGTGGGATAAACCGGGTCAGGTCTTGAAAAACAATTTGCCACAAGGTGAAAAACACCTAGAATAGGCTACACAGTGTAGGAAAATGAACTAAAGCACGTCCTACCACCATAAGCTCCAAGATGTTGAAAAAGTAAAACATGATGATCCGAGACCATTGCCCAGAAGCCTGTTGCTGATGGACCAACCTTCCCCAACCTTGGAGAGAAGCATCTGTGATTCAATGCAAATCCGGACAAGGTAGAGGAAGTTGTACTCCCTTCGTTGTGCTGTCCTTGTTTAATCACCAATGCAGATAGGCTGTAAGGGAAGGAGGAAGAGTAATTGGAGAGTACAAGGGATCCCGAGCAAGATTCCATGGGCCGTGCTGAAATTTCTGAAGAAAATGCATATGTAACTGACCCAAAGAAATAAGGGCTTCCACAGAAGCCCAAATCCTCAAAAGTGACAGAATCTTTTTTGCTGATACCGAGAAAGCAGTAAATGCATGGAAAATGGAAAACACTATCAAATGGAGAAGGTTGGTTGGTTAGCATTTTTTGGCACAAAGCAACATGACTATCAGCACCAAAATGGAGAATGATGGGCCTGAAAGAGGGGGATGTCGAAAAATATACCCAAGTGGATAAGATAGTAGGTAGGCAAAACAAAACTTCACCAACTTTAGAATCAAAACAACACAAGCTGCTACTGTCAGCAACAGATGTGTGTGTGTGTTGAGAAGACTCCAGTTTGGAATGAGCTTACAGAAGCTAATCGTCCAAGTAATGGTGTAAACACAACCCTAGAGCATGCAAAAGTTGGGCAAAAGCCATGACCACCCAATAAAATACATATGATGCTGAAGCAAGCACAAAAGATCAGGCACAAAACTGATACACAACCCCATAGTGGACAAACTCAAGATAGCATCTGGACTGATGAGAAACATAAATATAGAGATAGGCATTCGAGATGTCTACTTTGTTATTCATAGTCCAGGAGAAAAAAATAAAGGATTCCATAGGAAATTGGTAAAGAACCAGAAATTGTTTGAGGTAGAATAGATGTATCACAGGACAAAACAAAACTGGAGTAAAATCCTGGAGAAGGTTGGCTGACAGGCATGATAGATCTCTGTGATAGAAGGGTCAGCACAGCCTTGGCTATATTCTGGCAGATAGTTGGATCCCAAGTTAATGGGAAGGAAATCAGTACAAGAGACAAAGGTGGATGGAAAAGGATAAGAAATCCTTGTAACAAGAATTGGTAATGAATAATCACCACAGGGGAACAAAATTGGCCAAAAATGCCTCCATCAAACCAGAAACTGCTGTCAACAATGAACCAGATTCTGAGACACATGTCGAACCCCTAGTGGTAAGAATTGGCAAAGTTAGAAGGAGAGAAAAACTGTCAAAATCCTCATTGTCATGAACAGGTTCAGACAATGCAGGAGGAACCTGAACCTTGTCGGGAGAAAAAGGATGACTCATATAATGATCAACTGCCCAATGAATGATAACCTAAAAATTTCCTGTCAAGACCTCCAGCCCTGAAGCCAGTAATGGCACTTGAAGTAGTGGTAATAATATCAGAAGTTGTAAAACAAACTTTGTAATTCATCATAAACCATAAAAAAGTAAAAAAAAATGATAAAAAAATTCAATAAACAAAGGTAAGTTAATGCAGGAAACTACTACAGAAACAACTGTATCATCTAAATAAATCAAGTAAATCACTACTTTGCAAAAAAAAGATGAAATGAGCACAATTGAAAAATGTCTGTACTCAAGCACTGCCTAATAATAATAAGTGATAGTTCGGTAGAATCAAATAGGAGTCCCAAACGTTAGGAGTGTGTGTTGCACTCCTATTGGTGGAGGGTTATCAGATGATGATTTTCATGCAAGAAGCAGTTGAGCCACATTGATCATGTGGTATGCAAGAAAATCTTTGCACATAGAGGGCAGCACTGAACGAGAATAGCTACACAGGTGAGAGGAGGTAATGTACTGTATCAGAATCTCTGTTTTTGTATTCTAAGTACATCTTTCATGTTTAGTAATCCCATTTTTTGGGAAGAAACAAGGCATAGTGACTAGTACTTTAAGCTTGTTGTTGGAAGATTGCAGTTTTGAGGCTTGCTTACAACATGTTGTGTCTTTCAGCAAGACATTTTACCCCACATGTTTCAGTCTACCTGTATAATGGGTACCAGTGGGTAGCTTTGTGATTAAACTGCAATGGACTGGCATCCTGTCCAGGGGTATTTTTGTCACCATCATCATCAGTTTAAGTCATTAAAACCAGCTATAGCTCCTATGTGGCATGTGATTGATTTAAATTAATTCCATTTTTGTATCAACTTCAAAT